TTAGCGGGCCAGATGTGGGGCAAGGGGAGGATGAGGGAGGGGCCGAGCGAAAATTTCTATGCGAGCGGTGTTTTCGAAAGCTGACGTTTTAACGAGGCGGAATTTATGATTCTATTATCCGCAGATATTGATGAAAGATTAGGTACGTTATACAGAAGCTATTTCGAGTGATGTCCCGAAAGTAGGTGAATTGATTAGACAAGATTCTGGCTTTCATTACTATTTTTTTTCTTATTTTTTCTTTTGTGGCGATAATGTGAATGCGGATGTGCTACAAAAGCCAAACGAGTCTTTCTGCTTGAAGCCTCTTCCATCAAATTTAACCCGACTCTGACGTTGCGGCTAAATTGAATATGTATTCCTTTTATTTAATAAATTCCCCGGTTATCGTCCATCTCATTAGCGACGCAGATTACGGGGTAGGAAACCGATAGGGGGTCGAGTCAAAATTTGGACGCTCCTGGTATTTCGGGATATTAATATTTTGACAAGGTAGAACGTGTTTTTTTTTCTTTTTTTTTTTTCATTCGCAGATATCAATGCAATATTTCGAGTATGTTCATTGTGAGAAGAATATTCCACGCATTGCTTAGCAACATATTTGACTGTACTGGTGTTCTTTCTTATCTCTATTTAGCAGATTGTGATATATAATATATGTGTACATACCTACTTTTTTTTCTACTGCATTACTATAATGACAGACACGTCACGAAATCCATACGAGGGTTCTCGCTCTTGGAGCTTTTCTCATCAAACAGGATTCATTCGGACCCTGACGTTGCGAACAAATTGAATATGTATTTTTCTTCTTTAATAAATTCTCCGGTTATCATCTATTCCATTAGCAGTGCTGGTTAAAGAGATAGTAGAATGAAAGAAAAAGAGACGGGGAGTCAGAATTTGAATATCATTATATTAAGCGCTGATAAAGATATTCAAATTCTGACTCACCGTCTCTCACCTAAATTCTCATCTAAATTTTCTTATTCATATTGAACAATATAAAATATCACATATATTGCCACGAGGCATCCCACGTGTCTTCTCGAAAATAGGATTAACCACGATAATATTTAGTGTTTTTCTTGCCTATTTTTCTCTACAATATTTCTCTACGACTCCGCATTGTTAATGGCATTATCGCCATTAAATTTTTGGTCGTCTCGGGGTATATTATAAACTTCTTTAAAAGGTTGAGGGCTGCGAAATTCTATAAGAAATTGGCGTTTGCTCCTAATTCCCGTAAGCCGATTAAACGTTGGGTCGCAGGGACGCGACAATCGGCGACGCAGCAAGACTGCAGGCAATAAGGACCACAATGGGGAGTGCGTGAGTTGAATATGAACACGGGTATATTACTCGTGGAAAACATATGCGCAACCAATGGCACCCTTTTCATTCTTCAAAGGCAGCTGGGTAAATAGCCGAAAATGCCTCGGCTATGAGCTGGGAGGAAATTCGGCAAACTCGACTTCTGGACTCTCCTTTAGAATTTAGCCAAGGCGGCTCCTTTCATCCAAAAAGGCCAAACGAATTCAGTCTAATCTTGTTAAACTTCGCGATATTTCCCTGGGTTCTATCAGATTCAATAATTCTCCTCTCTTTTTTTTTTTGCTTAAATCGCCTTTTAATCCACTGATTATGTGTCGAGATCGCGGACGTTTGTTGCGCGGACCTCGCGAATACAACTACTCGCTTGGTATTAAATTCTTGATATTCTTAAGAAAGGCGGGCAAAGAAACGAAAACGAGCAGAGGGGCAATTCTTTCTCTCTTCCTCTCTCTTACTGTCGGATAGGCCGTCGCCATTGCACCGTGCGACCATTTCACGCGAAAAGAAATAGAAAACAGCCCCTTCGTTTTCTCTGTTTCAATGCTACCATCTTTCAGGGGTCAATGCGTTCTAAAATGCGTTTTAATCACAGTGAGTTTAAAGTGGGATGAAAATGCATAATGCATGCTTCACGGAGGAATTTAAAGTAAAATGTTTTCAATGTCTCATACTGGCGAACTTGGGGAGGCCTGAAAATATCCTATTTTTTTTTCTTTTCTTTCTCCACGATGTACACGATTTCGGCATTCATTTTGATTGAAATGCATTTTGATTGAAACTAAACCCTTTTATAGTCAGATCAAGGAGCGAGGGCGGTACATCCTGCGCCCATAGTCGGGATGGAAAAACCTCCCTTAAGAATCGGCGTTCGACTTGACTTTGGAAGGAGACCGGGTCGTCCGACAACGAGCTCGAGGGATTTATCTACCGGAAATGCCGGTATTTCGGTGGCTAAGACCGCTTAGGACTAAATCCGTAGCGGCATTGTCGCGAAGGGACGGAGGTGTCCTACCTGCCCCGTCTCTCCTTATTTCCAAACCTTCTCACAGTTTGTCGTCCTAGGGGCCGACTTCCGTGGTCGCCGGCCATCGGCATTGTTGACTTTTCACAGCCCGCCGTTAGTCCCGCCTCGAAAGTCCCGACTGGAGGCAAAAGTCAGAGTCCTTTCGGTAGCTGGTGGGTTCGAGTAATACCTGCCTCGGATATGGAACATCTCCCGATTGACATCTGGCGCCCGTTGTTAGGTGCCTTTCTTCGCGACCCATTAGTACGGATTGGCATGTGGGAATAATGGCTATCCATGAAAATCCACTACGGGGTTGAGAAGGGCAAACATCGAGATTTAATATAAGCGGATTTCAGGCAAGAATACGCGGCCGAAAGTTAATTTATTGGTCGGTCTCTATTCCCTCCAACGTTTCCGTTATTTATACCGGGGCTAGGTGTTACGGGGAGAAAATGATTTCCTTTCTCCCAAAGGAATTGTCTTTTTGAATGGAGTTAAAGAAATGTGGCCTTCAAGAATGCCGGGTCTTCCAAAAATCGACGTCTTCGAGACGAGCTCCGCCGTCGCTTCGTTAGGATGTTAAAACCTTCCTCTAAAATGAGCGATGGAATACCCACAAAGTGCATTGTAGGGTTTATTATGTGTATTGCTAGCTCTTTGGAAGTTATCGTCGCCAACGTCGGTGGCACCCCCCGTTGACAGCGGTAAACCCGCCGACCGGAAAAGAAGGAGGCGGCGGAGACGCGTCCTGTCAAAAATCTCCCCAGCTTTTCCATCTCCCTGTCAGGGGATTACGGCAGGCCCCCGAATGTGACGGATATTTCGTTTCACTCGTCACCTTGCTGCCGGGAAAATGTAGCCCTACAGTAGCGGAATGTATCAACAATGAGACGCTGTTCCATCGACAAATAGTTCCATTCAACGTTTTTCATACATCACGTATCAATGTCCAGGTATTCGTTTAAAGTAAAACTTTAAAAACTACGTGAATAAATGTATAAAACTCACGTTCAAATCCCTAGACCACTGCACACTAGTAAAAAACCCACATTCACGTTTCCATTCACAAAATTAAACATGGCGCCTCGCGGATACGCGATCCTATTGGTTGCCAGAGACGGTCACGTGATCGGGCCTGCGCACGGCGATACGCGATCGTCCTTATCTCGCGGTCGATCGGTATCCGGTTGGGAAATTGGTGCATAATAACGAGCGAAGAACGGAGGACCTACAATTTCCTTTATTAACCCATCCGGCGTTACAATTTCAGCGGAGTAACCCGAATTACGCCATTTGGACGTCCGACGGGGGTCGAGGCTCGGCGCAACGACGGAAGGCATAAAAGAACAAAGCGTCGCCCCCCGGAGATGGAATAAAAAAGGGCAGGGACGATCCTCCCCGGTCCGCTCTCCTCTATCTCGGCTCCTTACGCCGGCGTTCTTTTAATTTCCATCCAAGCAGCCATTAGGTTTTACGAGAGGCCCTTACGTTTTAATCTGTTTAGCGTCTCACGGCGCGGTCTTCGGTGCCGCGCGGCCTGGGAGAGCGGCCATATTGAGAGAGCGTCCGTCACGGCGAGTAGCGAGCCGCGAGCAGTGAGCCGCTCGGCTCGACTCGGCTCCACTCGGCTCTACTCGGCTCGACTCGGCTCGCGCCTCCGGATTGGGGGTGGTTTGCGGGTGCAATCGCTACGGTGGCGCCCCGTGCTCCCCTGGCACCCGTTACGTTAATTAAATACATTGTTGCGGGGACACGGACACCCAGTATGTATTTCCAGCTTTATAGGTGCGGAGGGGCACCTTAAGTGAACAACACCGCTTCCGCCCGGTTGCTCCGCGCAATTTTGTCCGGGACGCGCTCTTGCCTTGCGATCGTTTGTCACTTCTCGGATGGCGAGGACTTCATCGCTCCGCTGCCATGCAGGTTAATGCTCCTCGAGCGTTTCGGCTACTGATTGAGCCAATTCGTCTTTAGGGCTTTGTCATCGTTACGTTTCTAATCCGTTTGAAGGAAAGGTAACTCAATACCGAATAGTAAATACAAGGTAGACCCTCGACCATTATCAGTGAATTTCTCAAACAAATAGCGTTGCCGTACGGTGTCCCATAAAAAACCATAAAATTTAAATTGCCGTTAAAATTGACGACACCTAAAATTAAGCAGTGGTCATGCGTTTACGTTATTAGTTAACAGGAAGCGCTATAAGAAAGAACAACGCCTTGTTATGGGAAAAACGTGTTACAAGTACATGCAATGTTATACAGAGACGGTTCGAAGAATTCGTGGAATTTTCGGTCGACAAAATGCGCCAAATTATTGTACAATTCAGAAATTGATTATGAACTATATATAACCGCAGCAAATCCATCATATAGTATAATACAAATAATGAGTTATGGTATAAGATTAAATCTAGCGTTCCTTATAGAGCACCCTATACGACTGTTCCGTGATTTCGTGAAACGTCGACGATCGGTTTTAAGAGAACCGCCGTCTACATTGTTAGACATTCGGTGTGAAATATCGCGGGGAGGACCCGCTTCCGAGAGTTAAGTCAACATCAATTCGAGATACAACTCGAGAGGTGATTTTTCTCGCGTCGGGGTATGAATTTAGGTTCCGGAGATATCTAAGCCGCCTTATGGTCATCTGGTTGCAGGTCTGGTTCCAGAACCGGCGAACCAAGTGGCGGAAGAAGCACGCGGCCGAGATGGCCACGGCCAAGAGGCGGCAGGAGGAGGTCGAGGGGATCGTCGCGGAAGCCGAGGCCTCGGCCGAGGACGGGTGCAGCGACGCCGAGGCCGAGGGAAACGGCGAGACTGCGGCCAAGAGGCTCAGGAGAGAGCTCGAGCACCAGTACGGGCCGTGAAGAAGCCGACGGGAGGGAGAGAGGAGGCGTGGCCTCCGGGGCCAAGAGGCGGTCCTCGTCGGCTCGATGCCGAAAAAGGAGCAGAACGCGCGAACGGATAAACGTATCGAACGGGTGAACCGGCTAGACGACGAGACGTCTTCTCCCCCTCTTGCCTAGCGCGTTCTTTCCTCCCGACTCGCGTCTAGTCCTAGTCCGAGCCGGTCCACGTCCCGATTCGTCGTCCCATCCCTTCGGCCGTTTGCACACGTACCGGCAAAACCGGCGCCGGCACCACTATTCTGCTAAAAACAATGTAACTATCATTTAGAAACAACATTCGTTGTCCAATTTGACGCCCCAGGCTTAACGTCGAAGATAATGACTAGGTCTGAGTTTCGCGCCTCTATATGTATATATTTGGCGCGAAACTCTACCGAATTACTTAATTTACATTGTTATCATCGAAAATAACCGGTGCCGACTTTTCTGCCGAAAACAATGTAACTTTCATTTATTTACATTATTACCTTAGAAAATAACCAGCGCCGACTGTTCTGCCAATAACAATGTAACTTCCATTTATTTACATTGTTACCATCGAAAATAACCGGCGCCGACTTTTCTGCCAAAGACAATGTAACTTTCATTTATTTACATTATTACCATAGAAAAAACCGGTGCCGGCTCTGGTTTTGCCGGTAGGGTGCAAACGGCGTTAGGCTCGGTCGGACCGAAATGAATTACCGAGCCTCGTAAACGATCGTCCCACGTTCGGAAGCACTGATTCTTGTGAGGTATTGGTTTACAAAGCGTAAAGGCGTAGTCTTATCAGATTCTTAACAACACGTCCCAAGTGGTCGGTGTAAACTAAGCCTATTGAAGTTAAGCAACGTTGGGCGCGGTTCAGTACTCGGATGGGTGACCATCGTGAAAACACCGCGTAGGGTTGTCTCTATAATAAAACCTGATCTTATCGGACTAAAATCGAAAACGGAGACACACTCGAGCTTTTTCTCATAGAACCACGAAAGATACCCGATATCACTCGAACGGAATTCTATTTCGACGGAATTGTGAACTCGGCCAAACTCTGACTGGATCGTTAACGACTGATTTTCATTATTCGATGGATTCGGGAATACGATTTTCTTTCGAGCTACTAGAAAATTAGCAAGTCGAGCTATTGGAAAACGATTACTCTAGTTTATTTCATCGCTTAAAATGAGAAAATATGAATAGTCGGTAAATGTGAAATAGTGACGTTCACTTTGGTATACGATAGGATGGAACCTCGAGATGTGAATTTTCAAACAACTTCGGATCAATCGAGTAGGACGAAGACGATCGAATATTTCGTATTTATTCGTACAGCTGGAAAGGTGGTAAAACCGACTCGACGTTTCAGGCCGCCTGAACATTTTTTAAACAGGCTGAACATCCTCGAATTTGCATGTTCGAATTATTCAACCTAGCTCTCGTTTGGCCTAGAGTACTTGGCTCGGTATTGTTTTCTCGAATAGTTCGAGTATTTGAAGGTGCTCTTAAATCGACGGGAATTTAATCGAATTTCGGTATCCCTTTCCAGATTGAACGTTCAATTATTTAGCAAAATCTAAGCGATGGTTCGACTTCGGCTTGTCCACTCCGTACGTGCGCGGATCCGGTTTCGACGCGCCATCTCGCGGCCACGCCGTGCATTATGTGCAGCGAGGTGCACGTCTAGGGTCACGTGATCCCGAAAATGGTCACGTGCTCGGAAACGGACATGTTGCGTATCAGATGTAATTTAGATGCACGTGAGAATCATTTGCGAATACATGACAGTGCTGAAATTCCGAGGACGGAACAGTCCTTAAATTGCCGTCGACTTGACAAATATGACCGCTATCGAAAAGAAATTCCTTCAACGTTACTTCACAATTAGTGTAGTAACTTCATGCACTGAATTTAAATAGAAGAATTCAACGGAAATAACGCTCAAACATTGCATTTCACGAACTTTGCTGGATAAGTCGATGACATCAAGGATATGCAATATTATAGGGATCGTTCGATTCCTGCATGTAAAAGTGAACATATTATCCACCGAATTAATTTATTTACCGCATTTGTTTACGGTTCTCGGTATTTTAAGCGCTACTCTTAGATCGGTCCTCATGCCTCAAGATTGAACGTGAATTGTATAACGCATGATTTGAAATATTGGTTAGTGTACTAGAGCCGTTGCGACCATCACTTTGTTTTTCTTTTTTTTTTCTTAATTCTAAACAAACTAATCATAGCGAGTAATTATAGAAATCCTCGAAGAAGTGCGCAAAAACTAGTCATACAGTAGAGCAATGACGTTCTTGTACTATTTGCGCAGATTGAATGTAAAACCCTTGTAAATAACATTACAGTGGATGTTTCGGAGGCGAGATTTCTGTTCACGACTGTAATTCCCCGCATCCTCGCCGAGAATGTAATTAACACCTGCCGTTACTCGAACCATCGCTCCCTCATTATTTTTTACAGTCGTTTCGTTATGGTCGGCCATATTGCAAATCGCCGTAAGTTGGGGGAATGTTTTTGCCAAGTGATGTCGAATTTAGGAGATAATGTCGATTCATAAGTAAATATATATATATAAATATTCTGACCGACTTGTGACGCAAGAAAGCAAGTTGGACGCCAGGATAATAGTCGTGGGCGACGGGCGACTTTGTATATTCTGTAGATACAATAAACGTGAATGTGATATTTGGTGTTTAAATGCGGATACGGTATAGATAGACACGCAGGGTGTTGCGAGAAATCAGAACGTCGTTACAGGTACCCGACGATGAGTACTTGAGAATAATTTCTGACAATTGAATTAATCCGCCGTGGCCGTGTAACACGAGGAGACATTCGGCGGCAGTTTCTATCTACCGAAGGAGTAATTAACACGTTCTACACATTAACGTACACGGTGCAGGTCTTGAGGTAGTCAAAGTGCAAGGCCAGCTCATTTAAGCACTAATTGTTTCTAAGTGACATGTTAGTAAGATTTGCTCGTCCTACGTTGCAATTCGTTAATACAATTTATCGAAGATTAATGATAAGGTTAGGTCTCACCAACCAATTAGTTTATGATACAATTTAAATAAATCCTCACTACCCCGCAGTATTGGCATACTTTATAATTATCATTACCGTCAACAAATATCATTTACTAATGATAATGCCGAACGAAACCTGAGCCATGCCAAGTATTCCTTTAATTTACAATAATTCCAAAACAACCCACTCATATTTCCTATATGTATAGATAAGATGAATCAAACTTTATTTCTAAACATTTCGTCATTAGCGAACTAATGATGGTATGTAATTTATACATGACGGCATTAAATATTACTTTTCGATTGCATTTCGCGCGAACAGGTTATTAGGAATTTACGTCGTATAATCCGGATTATTTTTCAGTTATTGTTCCTAAAATTGAAGAAATTCGGGAACAATACAATCGTGTAACGACGGTCCGCTTTCACGAACCATCCTGTATATGTATATGTACGTATGTCTATTTAAAACTGTATTTATATATACGCGGCTTTCCGAGCAAACATTGCACCCCTCTGCGACGCACCGTCAATTGCGACAATGCCAGAAAGTATAAATAAAGGTTGCAATGATAACCGAAGGGGAATTGTCGTAAAGACATGCCGATAACCTTCTCCCATATTTGTACAGTTTAAAGCTGGGGAAGTGCTTCTCTATACATATATAAATATATTATACATAAAATCTTATTTTCCTCCGTACTTAACTAGCACTTCTCGTTTCCTTTTGTTTTCTAGAGAAAGGAAGGAAAACGGAGAGAGAGACAGTGAATACCGTAGAGCTACAATTAAATCAAGTGAAATATTAATATGTACGCACGATGGCGCAACATGTTGGGGAGAAATGTTTACGAGAAAGATGCACGTGGACAAAAAGCATAATCGTCGCTTGTTTTATCCAATCGTTCGGGAAATTCGGTTAATAATGTAGTCGATACCGGGAAATATTTACAACCTGTTAGTTTCCCTCCTTCGGAGCGTTAATGTAGGTACATATATTTATTCGAATATATGACAGACGACGTGCGCTTGAAAGATATTGAGGAAGAAAAAAAAAACAGAATATGTAACCTATTAATGAAAATAGTTCAATAGAGAGCAAACCGAGAGTGGGTCGTTATATTTATAATTTGTCATTTGTTATTTTGGTCATTTCCGTTCCGTGGAACTATTTTAACTCTCAGCCTGCAATTAATGAATTATTTTCCGTTCATAAAATTTGTACTAATTGCACAGTATTCGCGTTAAAGGCTTATGTGTATGGAGATGTCGCGAGTTTGTTGAATATTTGGGAGACACTTTCTGGGATTAAAGTCACTGTTACGTTGCTTTAATAATTCTAATTGATATGATGTGTAAGGTTTCGTATCTCCAAACTGTTACTGTGCGGCAAAATAACTTCTGTTGCAACTCGGTAATATTTCGGATGTATTATAATGTTGCGGTTTCTATATGGAAATATTGCAGAAATCGTCGTGTGGATATTACTGTAGAACGTGTATTGTTCGAACTGTCATGTCTTATTTTTATTATTTTTTATTTTTGAGCATTGATTTGTTCACAGATGCACGATCAATTTGCGGTCGATAAGCGTTCGATTAATAGACGTTCTATTGTATTTCTGGAACAGTGTGGAATTCTACTGCTTTGTTTACGGCAGATGAGCTATGAACATTGTTGCGAAGAGGTAAAGTTTCCCTTGTATATATACACATTGTGTACGGTAATCGATCTAAGACTTGCAACTCTTAGCAACAAAGTTGGCGGACCTTGAGTAACGTGAAGCTGGCCGAGGAAGAAAGGCGAATATGCAAACTTTTCTAAATACCTAGACAATTCCGTAGTTTACCTACATATGCACGTTTCGAAACGAACAATTGTGAGTTTGTATGTACGTATGCGTAATGACGAATCTTAAGTTGAATAAATGGAATA